AGGGGTGGGAGCTTCATATTTGTTTCTTTTAATTGTGATATTAAAGGATTTTTTGGGGGGACAGGTAACATTTTGACTTGTCTCTTTACCCATGTTTTTTAAACCACTTGCTGTTAATAATGGTTCCTGTGTTTGTTTTGAGGTGCAGCATTTGGAACTCATAACTTACAAGTAGGTGATTTATCTTCCAAGTCTGTTATTCTTATTACAGCAGACCTTTTTTAAAGTTTTGATATTTCATTGTGAAAATATCTTGTCCTCTCTCTTCATTTTTCAGTTAATCAGTTGACTGGAGATTGTCTTTCTCTCATTAAGTGGCATGTGGAATCAACTAAACTGTGCTTCTGCCTGCTTTTTTAGTTTTGCCAGGGTTAGGTTTCTTGAAGAGTATAGCAGAATTCTCTCATCAGCATGCTTTGAGTATCTGTTGATTGGTTTCTAATTTTTTTTTAATTTCTTAATTGCCTAGATGTTTCTGTTTCTCATCCTTCTAATTTAGCCACTCTGTTTCAACCTGAGAGACTTTTCTCTCTAGATTCAACCTTTTAGCAAAACTCCTTTCCTGGATCTTGCAACTCATAGCTTCAAGGGAATTTTCTTGGTTCATCATCTCTCCTCTCATCAGTGCTTTGTTTGATCATGAGACAGGAATTGCTTTATGTTTGTATCATCTTTGAATTGGTACTGTATTGTGTCTTTTCCATGGCATCATTTTTCTCTAGTTGCACTCTTTATAGAATCTGGCTTGTAGGTGTCAAATATTACATAATCTTTTGTTAGACTCTCTGGTCTAGCATTGAAACATTTGCTCAGACCTTTGACTCTCTGCACTGTTGCTGGTATTTATGTCATTTTCTGACAAGGTACCTTGCTTCTACTCACATTCAGTGCTGCCCTCTGTTTGCAAAATGTTTTTCACATGCCACAAGCCTTTCACTCCCCCACACCTCTCAATTCACATGGTTTAACTGATTCTAGCATTCAAATTATCATGCGACAAACCACCACACATCCTCGTGACTCATGAAACTCCCTCTATACTATTCTAACTATCATTTCTTATTTGGCAGTGCTCGTGTTCAGATGTTTAGTTTGTGCTCTCTTCAAGAGTGTTTTTTTTTGTTGTGTGTGTGTGTGTGTATCTTCTTTTCAATTTATCTCAACAAATCTACTATTTATTATACAATAGTGATATTTATAACTTATTCCGAAGTAGAATTATTTTATATTTCTACCCAGTTACAGAACTTAATACTTCATGAAAAACATTTTTTATTTTTTTAATTCTTTTTGTCAACAAGGTGTGTTTTGTTATTCATTTTAAATTATGAATTCCAAATTCTATGTTCCTACGTCAGAGGTTATATCTTCTATCAGCACATTTACACAGATTTCAGGTGGAGGACCTTTACAGGGAATTATTGACTTTACTTTGTTGGGAGATTGATCGTCCAATGAGCTTGTGGCCCACACACTTTGAAATATGGTCCACTGATTTAGGAATATTTTTACTCTTAATATTCTTATCTGTATTTATTTGGGTTCATTAACATAACTTTAGTTAGATTGGTCAATACACATATTCAAGTTCATATTTGAAATTAGAGCTTATTTGTATCCTTTGTCCTATCACGTTAGATTAGGCTTAACATAGGTCTTTGGTATTTTAGGATTACCTGTAATTCATCTCACTGGTATATCGTAAATTAGGTTAACTATATTGTTTTTCTTCAATACATCGTATGTTATACATATGTTTTTGTCAATACACATTTACTTAATTTTATAATTTTACATTTATTTCATTTTCATTATTATTTATCTTTTATACTTCTTCATATTACCTTTGTGTGTATGGACCCTTGGAGCTGGTGCCCACACAAACTTCTTCTCCCAATATTGTACATACTTATTGTTAGGTTAGGGCTTTTTAAATTAGAGCTTAGTGATATGCTTTGTCCTGCACAATTCAATTAGTCTTAACAAGTGTCTGTTATTTTCTGTTTCCCTGTAGTTCACCTTACAGGTAAATTGATAATTAGTTTAAGTATCTTGTTTTCTTCAAAACATAGCATCTAATACATATGTTTATTTCACTACACACTTACTTGAATTTACTTTATATCGACAATTTCTTTTCGTAATTCTTTATAATTTATGCTTCTTACAATTATTTTAGTTTGTGTGGACACCTGGGGGCCACCCTACCTTCTCTCATTATTGCTTGCCTTCCTGCTTGCCTACAACTGCCAAACCCATTTTGGATGACCTAGATTTTGTCAGTTTTCCTCTACCTGAAAATGGCTTGCCTTCGCAGGCTTCTACTGCAGAATCTGCTTGGTCTACCGCAGCCTCTTTTAGACACGTTTCACAGTATAATTTCCCTCCTTTATCAGACTTTATGTTTCACGATGAGCATTTTTGTATCTCTTTGGGATGAGGGTACTTTCATGCCTTGCCCTACACAGGTTTTGGTTCATTATGCCTTAGTTTTCCATCAGGCAGATTTTATTCTTGATTCTATGTACTTAGAATCTGTTCCATGTATGGGGGACAGTCTCTGTTCATCGTATCCATCTTATCCCCCACCTAGTTTTCCAGCTTTGTCTTTATTGACTCCTACAGGAAATGTCTACCTTCCACCTCCTTTCTTAGGCATTCCACCTATACCTAGGGGATTTTTGTGGGACAATTTCTCCTCCTTCCCTCCATGTTGGGTCATTTGCCATCTTCAGGTTATACCCTCCACATGTGACTTCTTTACTTTTGGGATCTTCTGGGGTGGGACACTTATAATAGGGACTTACTGTCGGCACTTTTTCTCCACCGGTCTGTTCTTCTGGGTTACTCTTGGGGTTTCTGACACTATATTCTATATATTTTGGTTGCTTTTATGTTTCATCTTGTGACATTGCTACCTTTATTCATATTCCATTTCCAGCACCTTCCCATCCCTTACCTGTCTACCTTTGGGTTTCTACATTCTTCATGTATGCTTGATGCTGATTGGAGTTCTGGATTGATCGGTTCTGATTCATTCACTTCTTGGTTTTTCCCCATTTTAATATAGTCTTTCATCACAATTACATGGACAATTTCTGCAGGACTGAGAATGCCCAAGGTACACATTCTTATTTTTCATTCTCAGAAATCTGTCTTAGATTTTTTTCACCATGTACTTTGGTACCACTTTTGTGCCTTGCCCTTTGGACTTGTTTCAGTTCTGTACATATTTTATTAGGTAGTCTATGATTTACCTGACTTGTGTGTTTTGGAGTTTTCTTACTAACATCACTACTTGGACGTCTGGCTTTGGTTAGCTCTTACTGAAGGGGGTGGTCATAACATACTCACCTGCTTCTTACACAAGCAGCTCGGGTAGTTGCAATATCTTCAGGAGATGCTGCACGACCCATGGTAGGGTTTCTTTGGATTCTCCTCTTAACTTCCCTCCTTCCCTCTTTGACTATATTGTGATTTGACTGGCCTTTTATTCCTTGTCTTTTTCTTCCTGTAATCAATTTCTGGTGTCTGATCAGTCACCTTAACTTTAACCTGCATTTCATCCCCGTCGTTCATTGGAAGTACTTTGTCTGTTGAGCACTGGGACTACAACTCTTATTATGTTCATCTCCCATTATCTGCTTTAGGTAACTGTTTCTTCATCGTCAGGGTACTGTCTTCCACCTTTCACCATCCTTCACTCATTTGTGAGACTGTAACTGGGTAACTTTTCTTTCTTTTGTTATATATGTTAATTTTTGTGGGCCTGTCCCATGTTTTGACCAGGATACCACTATGTGGTGGGTGTTGCCTGTCCATATATACTTCAATTACTTAGAATTGTACTAAAAACCACACTGTAAAGCCATGTTGACCTCATTTTCATAATTTCCACAAAACGCTCACTGTTCTTTACAATCACATAAATTAGAGATGAGGTGTTCCATTAGATTGCTCTTAAGTTATTCTTTGTGATATATATATGCTTCTTAAGTATGCCCATTCCAGACTTTACTAACCCATGTATTTCATGGGTAAAGCAGAAGGGGATTGCTGCCCATCCCTGCCATTCCTTAGATTGAATAAGTCAGTTTGGTTTGCTTTTCAAAATAGGGTTTTGTGGTCACATTCATAACACACTGTTTCAGGATTTAGACAGTCGCCTCCTTGGATGGGTTTCTACACACCCTGGCTTAATTGTGACAGAGGGGAGTAACTTCATTTATTTTTATTTTCATATTAGAATTCATATTGTGTTTAAACTAGTAAGTTAAGTTCTTGGAAACGACAGTTTGGTCCTGGAAGGATCTGGAATTTTTATATATTAGCCTGTGAAGACCATGTTATTGTAATATGAAATACTCATTTGTTGAGATAAGGATATTGTTTTCCTCATTAAGTAACTGTACTTGAAACAGTAATAGTAACAGAAATGTTACTCAGGCTTTACTTTACCATTTTCAAATAACCTTAACCATTAAGGTAAATTACAGTATTAGTCAGAAACTGTTTATATGATTGAAAGTTGTTTACCCAAGTTGTTTCCAAGTGAATGACTCCCTATCTACTTGTGATTTCTTCATCTTTCATAGGTTATTATGTGTGGGGAGTAATATCACAGCAAACTAATTCACTTAGATAACTTAGATAATTCTAATCATTCATAATACATTCAGCTCCAACAATCTACATCTACTTTAAAATTGTCAGTTACATTTTTAGATTTTTGTGAACATGTATGTCATATGTAGGTTAAAAAATACAATTTAGTAATGTTTTTTCTTTTATGGCTAAATACACTGACTTTAAACTGAAAGTTTAATTTGAACTGCTGTTAATAAGTTTTTCTGGAAAATGTTTTGGTTTTAGTGTCATAAAAAATAGAAATTTTGTTCAGATATCTTTGTTTAAGCTTTTAAAATAGATGGCTTTGAAAGTTAATTTTTTGTAAAATACTTTTTTTTACATAATATTTTTTTTATCATACAGGAAAATGACCTAGCAAGAACTAATCTGATAAATGTATCGTGGCCACACATTAAAATTCATGTTCCTTTGTTGGTTGAGACTTACACTTCAGAGGTGGTTGTGCGTTTAGATGTTTTGGCATCTAAATGTAGTCCTCATGAGAATAATACCTACCCCATTACAGTGAATCTTCTTTATTTGGGACCCAGCTTACCACTGTGGCCAGAAATGTCTTCTTGGCAGTATTCTGACATTGTATTTACTAAGGAGTTACCAGAATGGTTATTTCACAATTTTGAGGATATCACCTTAGAATGTAACATCTTTGATAGAGCAGGATTTTATCAGGTAATAGACTTGTAAGAAAAAACTGTAAAATTATTTAAATGTATAACCGACTAATAAGTAGAAATCTTTACAAAGAACATGTTACTTTAAAAAAATGGAAAAATCTTTCATAAACCATAGCATTACTGATTTAAAGCCAGCTTTGAATTATAAAGACAACAAAACTAAGGGTTAAACCTTTAAATGACACCTGTTGATCTGTTTATATGAAGCTACAGTTTCTTCTGAAATATCTTGCATTTCATATTATAATAACCAAAGGAGTTATAATTTTCTGGATGGTTCCGTAATTTAAATTCCAGCTGTATAAGGCAGTGGTGCTAAAAAAATCAGAGTATTAGTAATTGGATAAGAACATATTGGAGGATCTGTGAGATTTTGTTAAAGTTAGTGAGTTACAGCTTTAGCACTGAAATCTTTTTTTGATACATTGGTTTGCTTATCAAATGATTCCAGGATTGTTCTTCTTCTGTGTAAATGTTACCATGCATAGCCTGAGTAAGACTGAGTCTAGCTGGAGTTATGATTTTTTTAAGATAAATAACCCATTTTATTTCTTTAAAGAAGTAGAACTGAAGCAGATATTTTTGTTGGATTTTAAGAATCAAATGAAACATATATACTTTTTTAGATAAACTATTAAGTTTTGTTTCTCAACAAATCTGTGAATCATCCATCAATCCTGAAGAACTGAACTGAAAACCCTCTTCAAATCAGGTAGACTTACCTCAGAAATACTCTCAATAACCATGGGGCTCAAAGTTCTGAATGCCCTTGATGCAATGCGGAGTATGCATCAACTTTTCTCCACTCTTTCACCTTCCACATGACTTATAGAACATATTTTTTGAGATCTTATATAAGCTTTGCTTTTTCCCAATAACTGAGATTTTTTTTTACAGTTGTGCTGTTAATTTAAATTCATATGAATTCTGATGTATATGCTTCTACCAGTTTTGGGAATTCTACACTTTCTATGGAGGGCTTACTCACATAGTCTGCCCCTAGCTTACAGGGAGATCCCATGGTGATATGAGCAACCCTCATTGATCATCAGATTCAGGCTGTTATTTCTGAATTGTTAGCTGGCTGTTATGTGGTTCTTTAATTCTCTTCTAAAGTAACTTGAATGTTATCAAATTCTTGCCAATATTCAGCCTTTGCCATCTAACAATTTTGCTGAGCTATACTTAGGAGTTTATGTTTTTGAATTTCTGTTTTTTATACTTTTTTCTCCAACTCTGAAACATATTGCTTAGTTTTTATTGTTCTTATTTCTTGATCTTGGCTTTTCTTCTTCTTCTGTTGCAGGCAACATGAATGTCCTTTCTGCCACCTTTATCAAAGAAGCCATCTTTTTCTTGTCCTCACTTTTAACTGATTTTACTTCATCCTCTAGTCCTTAGTTCTTATCTCATGATGTCTTGTTGTTCCTCCTTTTGAACTTTTAGCAACTTTCTTGTTCTGCCATCTTTCACTGAAGATGCATTTTTTTCTATTATTCACTTCAAGTAAGAGATCTGATATTTATGCCCTTGATGCTTATTATACTCTTTTTTTATGTCTATGAAGGCTTTATACTTATATCTTTATAATACCTTTTTGTCAAAGACTAGGATTGCAACAAAAGGTAACCACTGTCTTTCACCAATTGTGTTCATTGCTATGTTGCACAAATGGAATCTTTCAGAGGAACTCGAATTAGGTTGTGTATATATATTTACATTATATTGAAACTTGCTCCATCCATGCAAATGAATTGACTTGTGTAGCCAGTCTGTTTTGTCATTCATGATGTACCTGTTAATTTCAGGTTACATCTTATCAAATGTTCCATCTTGCAATGTCTTTGGCTTCCTAGTCTCAGTACCAATTGCAAGACATCCTATAGACCAGCATGAGGATGAATCCAAATACTTTTTCACACAAACTGAGGCATCCGTCCTATGTCTGGGGGCATAAGGATTGAATGTATATTTATTTTTTAAATATACAATATCAATTATAATCATGTAGTAGTTTTATCAACCTTGATTACCATAAGGTCTTAATTTTACTACATATATATATATATATATGAACAACTACAGCCAATATAAAATCATGGTGAAACAGCATATATCAGAACTAAATTTTGTTATTTTGTAGGTAGTGTGATGCAACCAAAAATTGATCACTTTTTGGAAGGGTGTATAACAGCCCTTTGAAATAAAAATATTCATACACCCAGATCATAAAGATTTGTTTAGATTGGGTCTTAGAATTTCTTAGGAGAAGGGTATCCCTTTTACTTAATAACATTGGAAAAGAAAGGAATGTAGGTCAACTTGGAAACCAGAACCATCCAGAAAATGTTATCAAAAGCCACATGTAAGAAATAACGTTGTTTCAAACACTATGAATGTATTCATTTTGTTGCTGAGACAATTATTTGTAAGTGATTGGGAGTCTTATTGTGATGTTTAGTTTAGTTTTAGTTTTCATAGAAAGGTTTATGTTTTGCTAGTTTTGTCATTAATAATCAACAACAGATTGCTTTTTATGCATCTGTTTAATGCTACTTGATACTGCATTCTTACAGCTTTAAGATAAACTTTTCAAAATACATGTTAATATATAGCAAATTAGTTTTAATTTGAAATGCAACTAAGGTAAACAAGCTTTTCCACTTTTTGGAGAAGAAACCACTTGAGGCTTCAAACATTGTGATAAGTGTTAAAAGTAATTATTTTTTAACTTAACATTTAAACATGTAGTAAAGAGTGATTACTAGAATTTTTAATAAATATAATTTTACAGTGTAATCATTTTTATAATTCAAGCTATATTTTCTTGTGCAACCCAGTTTATTATATATATATATACCAAAACATACATACCTTTGCTGACACTAATAGCTATTTCTCGATCTTCATCTTTGCCATCTAACGGTGTGTTTGGTTACTCTAGTCTTCATATAACCCAACCGACTGCCCTCAGCAGTATCTAATTTGCAAAACTTTACATTGACTTTCACACGTCCTATGTGTAGGTACTGTATATAAGCACTGTATACAGACAATGAAATCACTTTTTCTCGACAAAGCGCAAACATTCAGACTAACATTTTGTGATTTACATTTCTTAGTTTTCGCTTTCTAATAATCAGGAATTCTTTGTTTTGTTACCCAGAGAAATATTTTGTTGAATTTATTTTTTTCCTACAAATATATTAAAAAACAACAACAAACAAACTGGGATATGAATTCTCATGTAATGGTTTCAAACACGGAAACTACTCAGCCTTTGTCTATTCCCTTTTCGTTATCTAGTAGTGGTCAGCAATTTGGGGGGGGGGCACTCTCTGTGGAAGCTGTCCGTGACCTGATTCGGGGTGAGATCAAGTCCTTCATGCAGCCCCGGGGTATCTCAGCAGGAGGTGCTGATTTGAATTTTCTTTCTGAAACTGGATATCCTAGGGAGAATTTAGACTCCCTGTTTCCTGCTCCTTCTTTCACTAGAGCTTCATCTCCTGAGTACTCATCTGATCAGCCACCTTCTGCCCCTTTTTTCTGCAGTTAGTTACATGTGTTTGTGAAGTTTTGGAGATGCAACTAGTTGCTTCTGAGTCTACCCTGCTTTGTTGTCCAATTGTTCTCAATGGGATTGCTTAGTTTTTCCTCCTTCTC